ATCACCCTTGAGCATTTTTATCCCATAATTTTTTGTACCTATAACATGTAGGAAATGACAATTTCCCTTTATTTTCTGTCTGGCATCTTCTGAGAATAAATAAATATATAGAACAACAACAACAAAAACACAAGCTTATTATTTTGCAGTCTTTTACCAAGAGTGTTCTTTTGTGGTCTCTATTTCATTTTCTTATACCTACCATATCAATGGTTATACTGAGTTTTAATCAAATGCATCTTATGCTGAAATAAAACATGTCTTTTCCAGAGTTTAAAAATATATATATAAATATCCATGAACATATATTTATTTGTAGGTTTATTTGTATTATTCTTATAGTCAATTTTTATCTTTAAGAGTTAAGGCAAATAAATGTTTCAGATATTTTCTCTCCTGGTACAAACTCATACTCTGCGCATTCAGAGAATTTATTTCCATGTGTTTAGATGAGTTGACTTCATGATTTTATTAGGAGAAAAATAAGAGAACATAAAAAGCATTTTAAAGTAAAAAAGTTGTATTTAATGACCTTATCATATTTGAGTAAAGCAAGGTTCAGTTAAGTTAGCAGAATAGTCTAAATCTTTTTGTTTCTTTGAAAATTGGAAAAAAACCACAGGGCCACGGAAAGGATGTGTTGGCTGTAATGTGGGCACTGAGGGACCAAGTCCCCGCAGAGGCCCGGGTGGCAGGGCACTGACAGAGCTAAGTCCTTGCAGAGGCCCGGGTGGCTGGGCACTGACGGAGCTAAGTCCCCGCAGAGGCCCTGGTGGCTGGGCACTGACGGAGCTAAGTCCCCGCAGAGGCCCTGGTGGCTGGGCACTGACGGAGCTAAGTCCTTGCAGAGGCCCCAGGTGGCAGGGCCTGACGGAGCTAAGTCCTTGCAGAGGCCCTGGTGGCTGGGCACTGACGGAGCTAAGTCCTTGCAGAGGCCCGGGTGGCTGGGCACTGACGGAGCTAAGTCCTTGCAGAGGCCCTGGTGGCTGGGCACTGAGGGACTAAGTCCCCGCAGAGGCCCGGGTGGCTGGGCACTGATGGAGCTAAGTCCTTGCAGAGGCCCTGGTGGCTGGGCACTGAGGGACTAAGTCCCCACAGAGGCCCTGGTGGCTGGGCACTGATGGAGCTAAGTCCTTGCAGAGGCCTGGGTGGCTGGGCACTGAGGGACTAAGTCCCCACAGAGGCCCGGGTTCTTGGCATGTGTGTTTCTGTTCTAAGGTCAGCAGGCAGGCAGGAGGCAGAGGCCCGGAGAAATGAAATTTGAGTCAAGGGCACTTGATTTTGGATTCCTCTCTAAACCAAACCACCACAAAACATGCTGAAACCTGTCTCTCTTCATAAATTGAAAGTTACTTTCAAAGTACATGACTGAGGGCTCTCTGAACAGCCTGCCTTCGGCAGTTTGAGTGTTTGCACTGAGATCAGGAACTTTGGGAGTTGGTGGTCAGATCCACAACTTTGCTTTGCCACCTCCTACTGGTCAGTTTCTTGATCTGTCACGTGGAAATATTAAACCTTACTTAAAATCTGATATCCAAAACGCTAACAGAAACCTGTAAACTTCACAATGCAAATGTTTAGAGAGCTTTAGTGGAAAGGCAATTTCAAAACTCCAAATAGAACCAATAAAGCCTTGATATCTAAGTTTCACAAAATGTTTTCTAAGCATTTCATATCTTTTATCTGATTTTTAAAAAAATTATCTTTGCCTCCAATTCCCATACTTGAGTGTGTCCCATAGAATTCACTTATAGGCCAAAATAAAAAATAAAAAATAAAAATCTGTACCTGGGTTGTTTGTAATAGAAAAACTCTTTAAATGAAGATTTAGAAAATAAATTACCAATAGAATAAAGCATTTTGAGAGCAAGTGATTTTTTGTCTTAATAGATGTCTTAATGTAACATTTTTGAGCTGTTGCTTCGGAAAGTGGATAAAGGGCTCTGGATTGCACAGGAGGCCACCTGAGCTCTGTCCAGGCTCCGTTACCATGGAGCAGAGCTGGCCTGTGTTACCTTAGTCTCTTACCCTCACTGTGTATCACACTGGGAATGACAAGACTAGTAAATGCATAGTCAACTCCTTTAAAAGTCTAATGACATGTTATCCACTAGGAAACCCATTCTTATCTGAGTCAGATGATACCAATTCATTAATATAAAGGTCACCAAATTAGATTAGCAAATGAAGAGTAGTTCTCTTGATATTTTTCACAGTTCACCAGCATGGACACAAACATTCTAATTGTTGTACACTATAATATTTGAGTCCACAGAGAGAAGGCAAAAATAACCGACTGTTGTCTAAAAGTGTATCAAAAGTTTAAAAACGTGGCTTGTAACATGCTTCAATTCATTTTCTGTTGGATATTTTTTAAGATGTTGAAAGTGAAAAGAGTTTTTTTAACCACTAAATGTTTCAGTTGAAGAACTTATGCAGCTGAAAAGAAAACGAATTTTAGAATTAGATGAACCCGAGTTCAAATCTGATTTCAGTTATATATGATCTTGGACAGTTAAGTTCTCTGACACTCAATTTACTCATCTGGAAAATGGGAACAATGATGCCTTATGCTTTGGAAAACTGTATATGTTAGAAATAATCTAGGTAAATCACTTGGTACATTAATAGGTACTCAATAATAGCTATAAGTAACATTTTAAGAATAAAGTGTTTTCACCTAATATCTAACTGGTATGCTAGAAATATCCAGCAAAACTTACAGAGATAGTTGTGACTGTCATCTGCTGTCTGACTATGAATGAATGCCCAGCCTGGGTGCTTATTGGATGGATGAACAAAGTCAGTGTAAATAAATATTTAGTGTAAGCAATTACAGTGACAGAACATTCAGTGACACAGTTAACTACATATCAAAAAGAAAAATGGCATTAGAGACCTCTTCGATGTTCAGCTCATCAAAATAGTTATATTAATTAGTAAATCTACTAATTTTCATAACCAGCTGCATATTCAATCTATGTATATTAAGTAGTATTTAATTTTATTAAGTTTGATATTTTAAAGATTCTTACTGACCTAAGTTTTCATCAAGCATATGCTCTCTGTTAGCTTACATATAACTGGTCACATCCATATCATTACTAGACATTTATTCTTACCCCTTTTAGCTATTTATATGCCAGCACTTTTCTTACATTAATTAACTTTAAACTTGTGTGTTTTGAAACTCCCAACACTGGAAATCCGGATCCAATGTTTTACACAGATGCGAGGAACAAGAAAATACATGTTTAAGACTATATAAAATAAGTCTACAATTGACATCCAGATGAAACAAGAATATAAATAAATGTTTGTCTTTACATAGAAACTTAAATACATCATTAATAAAATACATACACTTTTCAATATGAACTGAGACCTGAAACAAAGTAAGTTGAGGTAAGGGGTATCAAAATTTGAAGATATAATACAACGAAACTAACAATTCTCATATAAATGATTGAAAGTATGCTTAATAAATATTTAAAATAGTTTCTTATTTCACGTAACTTTAATCTGATAAGTGCACAAGATTAAATTTTCATTTGTGTGGAATTATCTAAAAAGGAATAAGAGTCATTGAAAAGCTAGAAGCCCATTTGTAATAAGTCTCCTGTTAAACACAAAACATAGTTTCATGAAATTCCTTAGACTAAGACTATCAAGAAGGCACTAATGATTTCAGTTATCTTCTCCACCTCATATTCTTTTTAACACAGGAGGCCAATGAATAGTTCTGCATTAAATACTGACAACAAGACAACACGAACATGAGTTGTGGAGGATGGCAGGTGTAGGTAGTGACACTGGGAAGAAACACTTGATCTAACTATCAGTAACAAAGATGTAGGTCACAGCGCTGTCCCAGCAGGGCGGTACGATACAGTCTACACATGCCTGTACAGCAGCTTACTATTAGACGCCTCAGCAGTTTTCTCATTTTCAGAAGCACTCTGGTTTTTAAAGCCCACTATTTTCATATTTGAATTTTGTCTCAACAACCACCTTTTATTTTCTCCCTGGCATTTCCCACAAATCTCCCAAATCATTAGTGCTGTGTTTTTGGGTATTCTTTCTAATGTTTTCATGGCCAAGTTTTCTGATGTCTCGATGAAGTTCCCTCTTTACATTTTTTAAAATAATAATTTCTGAGGAATCTATTGCACAAAATGCAGTTCTTTCTAATGTGTCTGCTTTTAAATAGACTTGTCTCCATTAACAGTGGATGAAAAGATACAATAAATTTGGGTTCAAAACCTAAATGTCAATGCTAAAAATAATGGTTTAGTTCTACAAGAAAACTGTAAAACAATATCAAGATCAAAAATTCTGGAAATCAGGTTTTCAAGCCTTTTTTTTATTAGAAAACTTAAATTATTACCCTTTTTAAAAAGGGAGTAGTCATTATCCATTTTTTTAATTTTCTCAAACAAATAATAATAAATGATAGCAAACTAGGATAAGAAAACACATTAGAAGACAGCTTTCTACGTCATACAACTTCTGGTTACCTCTTCCTATCCATTCACCTATTTCTGGTCAGCAGCAAGAACAGAACATCCGTTTATCTTTGCCTTTTTGGGTTTTCCAAGATGAGCTTCATTTACCTGAATACAAACAAAAGCTAGGGGACACAGATTTTATATTGCAAGAGCCAAGAACCTGGCTCATAAGCCAGGATGCCCTGCCTTCTATGGCTTCTGTAGTTTAGAGTCCAGTGGTTACACGACCAACTGAAAGTTGAATGATATTCGAAACGACACAGATTGACAACAAATAACGGAAACAAATGGAATCCCCATGGCTGTTGTTTCTCCCTAGTAGACAAATCCCTAGCATTCTGTAAATAACATTATAAATACTAAAGAAACGATGAGAATTTCACAATGGGGAAAGAGGATCATTGCTTATCATAATAAATATTTTGGTACAAACTTTAAAAAAACGTAGAAAAGTTTAGTACCTCTGGGTACTTTTTTCTAAGAAAACCATACCTGCTTCAGAACTTGTTTGATTATAGCTGCTAACAATGCTGTTTGGTATCACTGGAGTGGAGGACGTTGAAATTCTTGACTGAGGTGGATTGGGATGTAATGAGTTTCCTAAAGCCATGCCCGACTGACTGAGCATCCCACAGTTCCCGCTAGCCTGAATCTGATTGATCAAACCTGCAAGATGGTGGTTGGGGACTGAATTGTGACTGTGAACAAAGTTAGTGTTTGCGTTGTGGCAGTGCACGGCTTCCCCTCGGACGGGGATGTTCTGTGTCAGTGAATTCTGAAGAACACTGGAGTTCACACTGGGGTCTGTAAAATGCAGCTGGTTAGCAGAGCAAGGCAAAGCAGTATTGGAGGCCCCACAACCCGGGGTACTATTGCTACTCAAGTGAGAGCTTTGACAACTCATAGACTGTAGTAACTGAGACATTGAACTGATGGGGAAAGAACCCTGACTTTGCTTCCTCAGCAAGTCGGGTCCAGGTTTAGGAACTGAAGAACTATCCATTTGAGACTGTCTGAGCAAACTCAAAACTGTGGTAGGAGGCTGTTTTCTTTTCCGCAATGAGTCTTTCTGCTGAGACATCAGCTTATCTCTTAGCGCTGCTCGACCACTTTGCCCTTCACCTGTTGGGAGAAGCATGTTGGCAGTAGGAGGGAACATGGTGTTTAAAGTGCTATGTCCTTCAGTGTTGCCACTGCCAGCAACAGCTCCGGAATTGCTACTGCTGCTACTGTTGTTACTAGCAAGTTTGTTTTGATTTGCTAGCTGTGCTTTGGCTGCTGCTGAGAGTAAACTACTTGCTGGAAAGGAGGCAGCATTGTGCTGGTTCAAGATCTGATTTAAAGGCATTCCCAGCAAACCAGGCTGACTCTTTACAGAACCACTTCCGGCAGGTGCAGCAGGAAAAGCGGCACTGCTTGGGGTAGTTAGTACATTACTCATTCCAGCAATTAATGGGTTAGGGATATCCTTGTACTGATGATGTCCATCGGACTTGGTGGAAGGGCTTGATGGCATTGATGGCCGTGGGGACCCTATTGTTGACCTTGGAGACCTGGGTGGAACCTTAATACCACTGCAAGCCGCTTGGGGTCCTAGAGGTGGCATCATGAAATTTCCATGATCTGATGATGTGGAAGATGAGCGTGATCTTTGGGGCGAAGCCTCAATCCTTCCGATTCCAGCCCCCATCATGTGCACTGGGGATGTCACTGGAGAAGGGGACAGGGAGGTTGAAGCTGAATGCTGAATTCTTTGAACATGACTCCCATGATTCATGTGACCAGGTTTCACGGTTGGCAAAGGGAGATTACTTGGCAAAGGAACAACAGCAGGAGGCATGCTTACATTCATCACAGGTACCTGAGAGTGGACATTTGAATGGAAACTAGTTGGATTAATGATAACAGGGTTCTGATTCGCCGGTTTACTAGGAATAGGGTCAAGAATGCCAAGTGGATCTTTCTCAGATGTTAATGGCTTTTTCTGAAGAGCACAAGAAGGTGGAGGAGGGGGAGGTGGGCCGTGGGGTAGTTTGTGGTGGAACATTGCTCGTGGTATTTCCATATTATTTGAAAAATTACACATTGGTTTTTTCATTACTGGACTCTTTGTAGTCAAGGTTGGGGAAAGAGGTATATTAGTCCTTCCAGCCATTGCACAGGATGACTGTACAGGAGAACCGTGTAGCATTACTGAAGGTGGAGAGAGAGGAGTCCTACTCAGGTGAATAGGACTGGAATTGGGAGCTCCATGAAAACCAGGATTATTTCTTGTGAAAACATCAGGGCTTCCAAGTGGGTCAGTCCTCGGAGAGATTGAGCCATCTCCATAAATCTGGGATCCTGACGACGCTGGGCTGGGCAGGCCTCCATGGCTGCCACGGAATGGAGATTTCTGTCCATGTTCACTGCTGCCCAATCTTTGCCGGGGGTAGACGGGGTGGAGTTCTTGTTGCTGGCTTCCAGGCAGTTCTTGTACATAGAGCCTTCCCATGGCATTGGATGATCCCATCATTAACTTGAAAGGATGCTTACATTCAGGCATTACAGAATTTGTAATTCCTTCATGAGACTTATTTCTTACGGATCTTGGAGTTGCTGCCCGTGAAGGTACCACTGGAGTCGCATCTGATGTGAAAGAAAAAGAAAAATCTGTTAAGTCGTCTCAGTTCTTTTGTATTTGGGGGTGGGGGATGAGGAGGGAGGAAATGAGGAAGGGAGGGCAGCTGGAAATAGAAATTTGCAAATAGACGCCGTGCCTCCATGCAACTAGAAACTCTCCACTCTACATTAAATTTTGATTTAAAAGTGCACATTATTCTCCCTTAGTTGGCCAAAGGTCCTCAATTAACTGCTCATTATGCTTGTTTGCCTCTTATCTGTTGAGAAAGAATGAAAATCTGAATCAGTTCATACTGACATTCGCCATTCTAATACTATTTAGAATATGCAAAATCAAGATTGACAGCCCACATAGAATTGATGATGCTACTATCTTGTTGAATTTGAAATTTTTAGGAACACAGTTACAATAGAAAATTATTATCCGTGTGGCATATTTTCTTGGGTGATTTAAATGAATTGCCATTTTTACCAGAAAATCTGTTGCCCTATAAATGTTTCTGTTATCTTACTGAAACATCATCAGGACAGCTATAGAAACGCTTCTGTATCCCAACATTTTCACTGTAAAAGAGTCTTAATTTTTGTGAATAAAGTGAATGGAGTTCAGAATCTTTTATAATGGGAGCGATGACAATGGTAAATGCAGTGATACTGCAATCACACCTGACTTCCAATCAAGTCTCTAACACTGCAGTTTCTTTGACGTTAACCAGTCATTACTGTAAAAACAACTTTAGCCAGTCAACTCAGGTAAAAGGCTGCAATTCTTTTATTAGGATAGAATTCCTATGCAACATTTAGACTGCCAAATCCTTAGTACTGGGTTCTAATTGCCGTTCCTCTTCCTACAGAGCGCATCTCTCCCTCACTGGCCTTTGGAGTCCCTTCAGTCCCTTTGGAGATCAACAGAAAACAGGCAACAAAAGCAAGCTGGCCCACTGGACAGAGCTTTCACTTTATCTTGTTAGAATTCTAGGTTCAAGTTTTTTAGCCCCTAAGGATGTTTCACTATTTTTATAAAGTTGTACCTTGTAAAACAGGGATAGTAAATAAAATTGATTTCCTAGGCCAAGTCCCATCAACTGGTGGTGGCTGAATAGAGGGGTATGAAGGAAAGGATGCTGAGCCTTGCCGGGCTCTGTAGAAAATGCCACTGAGTCTACTACAGGCACAGGGGTTGAGAGTGGCTTCATTCATACTATCTGCTGGCCATCCCCATTCTGGGACTTACAACATCTTGGCAAGTACACCTGGATTCATTTGCAATCAGAAGTACATTTACTTACATGGCTACTTGCACATCTAAGATAAATATACTTCTCCTGCCTGCGAGGTAGTACACAGATCAAATCAGATAATGTTTTTTTTTTTTAAGACAGTGGTTCGTTTTAAAAAATGAAATCCAGGTAGGGTGCATCCAAAAAGTAAGAGAATGCAGTGAACATACATTTTCCTTTGGAAATGTGGGCTTTCTGTTTCTAGCATGGTGAAGATTCTGGATAGAGTAATTTCTGAATATAATATATGAAATGTTGAGAACCAATGATATAAGAGAATTGTAGCAGATAAACTCAACTGAACTTATTTTCTTGTTAAAAAGAGATTTTCAAAGCTTGCAATAAAAATAATATATGAAAAGTAGTTGGGGTACTAGGCATGGCTCATGGTGGGAACACAGGTACCTGTATTAGCCTTATTACAGGATTGACTGTGTTCTCTTCGGGAACAAAACTATAGACTTGTGTCTTTTCTTGGGTATTTCTATAATTATTTATAGTTAAGTGATTAAAAATGTAGACATCGGCATTTTTAAATGTACAACAGACAGAAAAAAATATACAACAGAATTTAGAAAATAGTTGTGTTTTAAAAAGGATTTCTTCCATACCTGGGGAAACCTAGTTACCATCTTTAAAATAATAGGAATACTAAATAAACAAATAAAAGTCATGCCACTGTTATGTTACACTTAGGAACTAAAGTATTAGAAGAGTTGGCAAGTATAAATGCTAGGTACCCATCAAGGGCTTTCATGTAGAACTTTCAAAAGAATAAGCAGAAACTAAATGTATGTTTATGTATGTTAGAGGTGAAAATTACTATATGAGTCTTCTTAATATTTAAGGTTGAGCTTTAAATAATTAAATATTAAGATAGATATCAATTTCATAAAATTAGGAAGTTGATATAAATGTTATGTCTGAAGCTAGTAAAAGAGGCAATTAATCCAATAAAGTATACCATTGTAAGAGTGGATGGAGATATGCCTCTTAAACCAGTTCCAGTTAAATATTTATCTTTATTTTTTAATAATGAAACTTGTTAAGATATGAAAAGTTGAGAACCAAATCAAGACTCTGTTATGGTCATTAAAAAGGCAACAAGGCAGAATGTAAAAAGAGGTAAAACTGTTTGATATGAGACAGCAGCAGATATGAGCATATACAAAAGTGAAATCATAGTTACGTTGAGGTGGCAAGATATCGGTAAATGTTAAATAATTTATTACTATTAAATGTCTTTAAACTGTGGCAATATTTGTTTTTAATTAAAAAAAATGTAGCTCATCAAAAGAAAAAAAATCCCTTAAAAGACTGTTTTTTCTTACATACCTCAGTGGAGCACTATTTTTCTGATCATTCCTGTTCAAGCTTAAAGGTTAGAGGTTATTGGGAAGGAGCTCTCTGGTCATAGCTGCTAACTTATCTCCCCGCCCTCTTCACATGAGTGCTAAGTGTCAATCTATACCTGTCCAATGTCACAACTGCTCCTCTTTGTAAGTCCGTAATTTGACCCCAACTTACCTACGCAGGCTTAATCTTCCCCTCAAGTCAGATTAGTTTCCACATCGATTCTACTCATTCTGGACAAGAATTTTCTTATTTCCCTCATATTTCTAAATCCTGCAAATTTCCAGGTTGGTTCAAATCTGAGTTCTGCTGTAAAGCCTTCTCTGATCACTACAGGGGCCACTCGTCATCGGTATTTAGAACTCTGCAGAACATCACTTCGCCTTCATAAGCAAACACTTTGGCACTCAGTCACATTTTATTCTGAATTACTATTCAAGTGCTAAGTAGATTGTAATATTTTGGAGTTTATAGACTAGCCATTACAAAAAGAAGTTCCCCAGTCTCAAATCATTATTCCACAGATTACATATTAATCTTAAAGGGAAAAAGTACCTTAACAATGGAGTGATCAGATGGATATAACTATACCCAAGCAATCAAACTTAATGTCATCAATATGGGATAAATTGACATTATGTGCCTCCTGAGGAGGACATAACATCACCTGTGCAGTATTCCTAGCAAAAAATTTTTAACTTGAATATAAATGAGGAAACAATCAGGCAAATCCAAATTGAGGAACGTCCTATTAACATTGACCTGGACTCTTCAACAATGTCAGTGCCATGAAAGAATGAAAAGATGGGGAACTGATGCAGATTAAAGAAATGGAACAACTAATTGCAGTGCACAATCTTTGATTGCATCCTGGATTAAAAAAGAAAACCTGGTTTAAAATAACTATAAGAAATTATTAGGACAACAGGAGGAATTTGAATACAGCCTACATATTAGATAATATTGTATCATAATATTATATCAGTGTTAAAGTTCCTCAATGTGACAATTAGATTTTGGTTTGTGAGGAGAATGTCTGTGTGTGTTGAACTATTTAGGGGTCAATTTTTATGACATCTGCAATTTCTAAAACAAAATTGTTAATTGGTGAATCTACATGAAGGGTACGTGGTATTCAATAAACTGTTCATGCAATTTTTCTGCATTTTGAAATTTAAAAAAAATATGAAAGCATGCATTCATGCATACAGGTGTGTTGGGGGAGGTATAAAAAGTTCCTAAAAAGGTAAGATCTACTAGTAGGTGCTCAATAAATAGCTATAAAATGACAGAAAAACATAACACTGCTAGTTCTTGAAAATATTATTAGTTGCATTTGAGGACTTGATACCACACATTCAAGTACAACCTTAAGAAAAAGGCTACCTCTGATTCCTAAAAATCTGTATCACTTTCTCTTTTGTTAGCCCAGCTCCATACCCCCATAACATGTGCATGTGCTAATCAGACTCTAATTATTTAACTAGATGATTTGGATAGGACATTTTGGGAAACAACTTCATGGGATTTTTCAGAAGGAGTTTGCTACTTGTAATAAGATGATAAGACACTCATAACTTTAAAAGCATTGTGCCTGTTTGAAAAGTGGCCTTGGAAAATGCTTGGCAAAGTGATCTCCCATGACTCCGCGAGGAGAGGAGGGGGTGGGGTGGGATTCCTAAACCCTTCCCCAGGTTACATACTTGTTCCTCCTCCGGGACTGGTAAGCACCAGAGAAGGATGTGGGGCTTCCATGCTTTTATGAAGTGTGGCCACTGCGATGATTTTCCTTTTATGGATGCATAGCTTTGTGACATCTTCATCGGCTTTAACATCTTCTGCAGTTCTCTGCTTCACAGCAGCTCCAGGATCAAAATTAAACACCTGGAAAAAGAATGGCCTCGGTTTAGAGCATGTCGTAAAAGCACAACATAAAAAGTTGCTTTCTTAAAACATTTCTTTACATAGATTAGGCCATCAATATGAATAAAACTTTCTCAAGTTATTTAAGAAAAGCAACTTTATGTAACTTAATAGTACTTCTGCTGAACTCGTGGCTTTTAGTGGCACAGTAAATAATGAAAATTATCCTAATTCCACCATAGCCAAGATAAATATATGCAAAGGTATATTATCTATGTTCTCTGATGTTATATTTCCTGCTGTTATAACAGTACAAAAATAGATGAAGTTCAGTTTAAAAATCCAAAAGCTGACACTTCTATGTGCTAACTTTTCCTTTGGCTTTATTTTATTACTATATTAATATTACCTTTTCACCTATTAAAAATCTACTCTTCTATTAAAATAATCTTATTGTGTATATATTTATGAGATGTTTCAAATGCTTTTTTCTTTTTTGGAATGAGGTGAAGGTGAAACAAATAAGAAGAAAAAAGGTGTCTGTTAATTTTATTTCTAAAATTAGTACTATAATAGATACTCAGAGAACAAGAACCTGCTTCCATAATAAATAATATTTTATCATTTTAAACAGTTTTTACTTTCTACCTTGCAAAGGAGTAAAACTGTTTCACATTTTGAGTAGGAAGGTTCAGTTCAGCTTCATCATTTTAGAAGCATTGGTGGCAGATTTATCAACACCAGTGCTAAAAATAACATTGCAGATTGAGCAGTTACAGGAGGGGAAAAACTACTGCACTATTAAATGGTGAACATAGGTAGAGCTCTAATAAAATGTGCAAAAAATGGCTTTCATAAAGTATTTAATATGAATATAGGTTTGTCACCTTTGAAAATGACTCTGGGATTTGAACCACTTTCCACAGTCATTAAGCATTCCAAAATGCATGCAAAAGATACCTAATTAGATAGACTTTAAAATGCATATGTGATTGGAGAAGTAATATAAAAATGAAATGCCAAATCAGAAAAGCTAATATACGAAACACCTAGAAAAGAGAAAACTGCTGATAGAACTGTTGTGAAATGGTTACCTTGGGAAGAATAAGAGGACATTCCAAGCCACACTTGCATGTTCCGTCAGTAAGCAGGTATGTTTTAACCTGCTCCAAGCAAGATAACAAAGACCCACTGGGACTGTAAAAATAGTTCAAAAAAGCATCAGGAAATAATTCTGACTGCACATATCATATGAAAAAAGGCATAATTTATAGTCTTACTGTCCTTCACAGGATAATATTTTCCTACTAGGGAAAAGCATTCTCTTTGTCAATATTATGCTAGCTGCTAAATTATAGCCTTTTAGCACCATCGCTCTTTCTTTTGAACCAAAATATTTCTCAGAAAAAGACAGATCTTCCTAGAAAATTAAATAAAAGTATTTGGAAAACCAAGCGTGGACTGGGATGGGGGAAAATGCTATTCTTAAGACGACAGGAGCAGGCAGGAGAGGAACAAGAAAACAACATGAAAGTAATCATTATCATTTTAAACCAGAAGATCTACTTTTGAAGCTGTTGGAGGAAAAACTGAAATTTAGGAACACATTGGAGGTCAAACCAGAAAGTCACTAAGTGTATAAAAGTTGGAGCTAGCAAGTTCTTTCCTTTAATCTTGGAGTCCAGAACCAAGTCGTCCCTATGTAAAAATAGGTTTCTTTTTTTTTCCTCCCTCATCCATGTGTTTCTTTGAAGATAGACCTGTGTGGCCCAACTCAAATTACACTGAAGAGCCAAATGGTACTGACGAGGAGAGAGGAGCCAAGCAGATCTGACAAAGGATGAGGGGACTCTTGAGGAAAGAGGACTTTAGGTGGCAGAAAGGGGTGCCTTGCGGGCCTTCTGGCTGGTAAATGGTTGCTGCTCTCAAGGTTACTACTCCTGGTTTTTATTTTTATTTTTAATTTTCTTTGATTTTCATTTACTAGTATAGTGAGGGTTAGTTTAAAATGGGCAATTTGCATTTTAAGACTTTTATTATTAAAATACTGATTTTGACAACCTTGAAAATTATTACACACTTTTCATTCAAGAATGGTCTTTTATTTATGACTGTTTACCAAAACCTTCACTTACACATTCTGATCAAATTTAAATTTGACCAGAAATAATACAAAGGATTACACTACTAGGGGTAGACTATTCTGCTTCTACAAAAACACAGGGAGCAGTTTTGCATCTACAAGTGAGCCAACTTTAAAATGCAATTCATGTTTTATTTATGGACAATCATGTAAGTGACATACATGTAGAAAATCTCAATTAAAATCCTCAACTTTGTCAATTCACTCACTCATTTATTGAGGGTAACAAAGTTTTTCAAATGATCTGTAAAAAATAATAATTCCCATCTTATCGACTTGAGTTCCATGACAGTGGTAATGACCAGAGGTGTTGGAGGTCTGCTAATTTACATAAAACACGACCACCCAACAGTTATCATGTGTAAAAGTTCATGAGTTTTGTGACAAGAAATTGCCTAACATTTTACAGTTAAAGAAGGTGTACAGACTGAATCCTAGAGGAATTTAATTGTAAAATTAAACCTGAAGACAGGAGTTCCTGAATTCTATTAGAGTATTCCACTCTAGACACTTCAAAAACACTTCCTCTCAGTCAGTCAGCTGGCCTCTTTTCTTCAGCTGTACCTCTTTAATTAACTTTTTAAAGTAATAATTAACGTAAAAAACAGCTACAAGTCTTATGGCAAGGATAACGCTTAGAAGATTGGAAGCAGGTGGGAAATTTAATGTGCAGCCTCAACGCCTCCCTGAGGCAGGAGCAGCTGGAGACAAACCTAAAAATTACAAGCAACTGCACATTGAGAAGGGAGCTATAGGAGGGCTAGCCCCTTATATGTGTTCAAGCAGTAATTTAACTCTTTACAAACAAATCAAACCCATACTGGCTTAATTTATTTGAAGGTGTTTTACCTTATCTGGCAAAGTTAGTTTTCAAAATAATTTTTAGTGCAGAGACTTGGATTTGGAGAACTCAAGTTAACTCACACTAACAGATAGTGGAATCTACCTACACGTGGAAAATCATGAACAAGATAACTGACAGATTCCCAGACTTAGTAGCTTGTTTTAATTTAGTTTTCAGCAATCTGAAAAGCTGACTGATCTTTCATAGGAATGAAGATAAAGTTAAAAAAATTAGATCTTCAAGATCCTAGATTCATTTAATCTAAGATGGATACATGTTTGCTCCTTACAGACTAGAGCAATAATAAATATGAACAGCAACACTGACACCTTGCTATATTACATTAATAACCAAGTATTTCTGGCAGTTTGTTAACAGCACCGGCAATAGGAACACTTGAGAAAGTGACCTGTGTGTCCATCTTAACTGGACAAGCTCCACATCCCCTGCTCTCGTATTCCTTCACTCCTCTTAATATAGAGCACATCTTTAGCATCCCAGGAACAAAAGAATTATGTGCCAGAGAATTTCAATTGGTAATTAAGTTTACCTCCAGAAACACCTTACATCAAACAAACGCAGGACAGACTCTGAACTGAATTTTGAGTTGTTATGGCATGAAATAATTTATGTTTATATAACAGCAAATACCTCATTCATATAAATACATCTTTGAACAAATGAAGAATTCCGTTGAAGCAGAGATACAAATAACTGCATTTAAAGTAACAGCATTAATATCATGATGCGACGTGATAACTTTTAAAAAGTTCTATTTCTAGTAGTCGTTTATTACATAACAAAGAGAGATTTTATGGTGTCCTAACTTTTCATATAAACTGCTAAGTAAGGAACTTAGGTGTCAATTATCTATAATAATAAAAGCGTAATATGCTAATTAGACCGGACGACCTTCTGGGGGTGCGAGGGAAGCCCTGGTCCCGGGTGCCAGAGGGTGCTGAGGGAAGGAAGGCCTACTCTTGCACGCATTTTGTGCATCGGGCCTCTAGTTCAATAATAAGACTGAAACTTCTTGCCAACAGTTCAGTTATTCCATTCAACTTGTTCTATAAGAGATACTTGCCCTCAAAATTCTATAGAGCAGGCATTTGCATTTTATTTGTATGATTTTTATGTGAGAGATGAAGAGCCATCTCCATTGTGACCTTTTCTTTTTTACTATAATATGCAAGGATATAGATTAAAAACGGTGCAGAAAAAATAGGAAAATTATTTGTACCTAATATAAGGCTTTAAGAAGTCTACTAATTAAAACTGCCTATAAATATAAACACTCCACCTTCCTTCGGAAAATCCAGCTGAAGCACTCTGAAGGATAGAATAACATTGTCGAGGGACCTTGGGTCTATTTCTAGTATTTACATTCCCTTGTGAATGTGGTAATGATGCCTATGTTTCTTTTAGAAATCTTCATTTTTCTTTATCCTTGTTACAGAGATAAGCAGAACGACACGTTATATAAACACAAGTAATGCGTAAAAATTCTCTCTTGTAACCTAAGGCAATTTACATCGCAAAATAGGGCAGAATAAAAACAGTTGAATATTTCCAGCACAAAGATCATTTATTCAAATTTATTTGAGGTGCTGTCAGTCACAATATTTTGCTCCCTCGGAGGAACAGGCTCTATCTACCTCCTTAATTTTGGGACTGCAACTTGGAGGTAACACAGGTAGTAATAAGGACTCACCTGACATAAAGCACTCCATTGTGATCCACACGGCGCTGCCAACCCACAGGAACTTGTATCGCTGGAAGACCTCCATCCTTGTCCCCTCCGTCACACTCCTTGCCTCCATTCATTTTCTGTGTCTGCTTGGGACTCTCCAAAGATATCAGCAAGAAGATGATATCCTTATATTACAGGGCATGATGGCCTTCAAAAACGGCCAGTGCAGCATAGTTGTTCCCAGACTGTACACAATGCACTGGGATGCTCCGGCTCAGTTTGGAACCAAGTCCTTGAAATCTGCCATTGTGGAAAAAATCAGTTTCCCATTATAATCTACATTAAATAACCAATATTTAATTCCTAAGGATGGTCTACATGGGTAAAGCGGAGTGCTTCTGGCTAAGGAAAATCATATTCACTAATGCTGGTACCTGTCTGAAGTGGGGGAGGGGAGGGGGGTAAAGTTTTTAGTTCAACATTTTGTCTTGAACCTTGATGTTGGACTAAAATAATCTCTACTCTTTAGAAACCAGTCTCATTTTTACAATGCGAGTCGGTTAATATTTCCAGGTACTACCCGCCTTTATAGGCCACATTCTTTAAACTTTCTCTTCATCTTCCAATCTGAATCCAAGATGTTGCAGGTTGGTTCATCTGATGTTTTCATGTCTTCAAAATTCCAATAATGTAGCCTGAAACATATATAAATATATAAACTGTATATTAAATGTTGTAAAACTAAGAACCTGTACAATTATAAATAGAATAAACTGTTAAGTGTACCAAACTACTTTGATGCCCCCTGCCATCAAAATCACAAACAAATTCAACTTGTTTTCTTCTTCTAATGATCCACTTAAACCAATTTGCTTGCTCTTCACCACATGAAACTTTCTAATTACTAGAGACCGACCCATAATTATGGCATTACACACACACACACACACACACACACACACACACACACACTCCTTTAATTCACAATAAAAATATCTCTCTCAAAACCTCTTATGACTTGACAACTGGAAAGTTATGTATTAATCCAATCACAACTGATCACTCTACATATCCTTATGATTTACTTTTTTAATCATCATAGTGGCCTAAAGAACAAAAGGTTTCTGTTTTTAAAAGAAAAATAAAAAGGAAATAAACTTATAGAACACTTCCAAATATAAGAGAAGGTTTCCCCCCACTGTTCTTGAATCCAAGAGTGGAAGTTGCTTTATAGTTAGGAGTTTCAAGCTCCCTTCTATTATGGGGCATGCTCTCTTAATTTCTTTATTGCATCACAAGGTCCTGTTGGGGGAGGACATATTAGCTTGAACCAGCAGGAATCGCTGCTGGTCTAGGATGCTTGTAAGAGTTCCTTCATCTTAAAGGAACTGTTAAATAAAAAAAGATGAGGAATACATTTTAAAAAAGATTTAGTACATAATCCTTGCAAAGATTGTATGTCACAGTTGCTGGCTTATTTGTTGTGGTAAACAAGACTTTTAATAATCAATTTAATATGTAGTGAATGATTACATTGTGAGACTCATGAAACTACTCTAAAAAATGAATGAAAAAATGTTCTCGTATTATATGAGAGGGACTTGTGGTCTGTGATAAAAATTCCCAGGACAGCATCACCCACAAATTCAAAAAGTGTTACATCTCAAATAACTTAATGGAAGCCAGGTGACATGCTTTGGAAAGCTATGTCAAATGACTTAAGATTCACCTGGAAGTACTAGTACTAAAACTGTTTCAAAAAACTTAAATTAAAAAGTCATTATTTTAGCCCTGGTCGGTGTGGCTTGGTTGGTTGGCACATTGTCCTGTGCACCAGAACGTGGTGGGTTCAATTCCCACTCAGGCACATACCCAGGTGGTGAGTTTGATCCCCAGTCGGGGTGTGTGAAGGAGGCAGCCAATCAATATTTCTCTCTCATACCAATGTTTCTCTCTCTCTCCCCCTTCCTCTCTCTCTCTCTCTCTCAAAATGAATTTTAAAAGTTAATATTTTAGAGACTATGTTTAAATATACATGCATAACAATCAACAAATTAAACAGTGTAAGTAGACACATAATTACTTAATCTATATTCCTAAAAGTCTACATTTTGAAGTTCAATCTAAACCTTTTTTGGATCTCTTCCTTAGGGAAGTAGGAGAATGCCTTGCAGTAAAGAGCATCATGTAGTCAGGCATATGCCTTATTTGCAGCCTCAGGTCTGAGACAGGTTAAAGGTGTGGCAATGAAATATATACTCATTTAGCTAAAAGTTGGGAACCATGGTATTGGTGTGGGAAACATTGGCAAGGCAGTGGGAAGAGTAGCAAAAGTCTACTGGGGAAAATGTTGGTATGAGGAAAAGTGCCAAATAGTAACATTCCCGATGGTGTCTCAAGCTGGTGATTGGTACTGTTGGGCCCGCTCTGCTGTGCCTATGATTCCTACTTGCAGGCACTGCATCCTATTTCTGTCTTCCATTCACTGCACCTTTAACCAAGACCCCTTCTGATCACGTATGTGTTTACTCATGTTTTATTCAACAGTTAGTGAGCGGCTGTTATGTACTAGGTACTATGCTACTAGTATGTCCTGTAGTTCAAAGATGGTAAGACACTACTTTATCCAGAGCCCAGCGTAATGCTTGGCACTACAGTGCTGCTCGGTGTGGCAGAACAAATAGAAAGGCAAGTGGGATGAAGGGAGGATGAGAAAGGATAGAGAGAGCAAGGAAGGGTCAGTCCCTCTTTCTCAAGGAGTCCCTGGCCGAGGGGAATACCCAGTGCTGGTGACAAATGTGAATGGGAGAGAAACTTTGTGCCATCCTGGATCCCCAGTTTTGCCAAACAGCAACAGACCCTGATGACTGAAACTTTTTTATTTTTTACAGTCCCTTTTCATGCTCATTTTATTACCTTGTTTTTCTCCTAAATAAATCTCTTCAGTGGTGTCTGATCATTAGAGATCACTCTCATTTTCTCACTTTTGCGTTTTCTAACCCCCTGATGACTTTTTGTTTATCTGCCTGCTCTAGCATGTGACTCCAACTTCCCCGAGACTGGCTGGCTGGCTCTGTTGAGTAATTTGTGATCTGCCAGATAATAACATTGGAGTGATTCCTGCCAAATGTCTCCCTCATATTTCAACAATTAAAAATACAAATATCTGACGGCTGGGTTTTGCATACACCAGAAGTTCTCAAGGCCTGGTCCTGAGACAAGCATCATCATTGTCAATAACATCTGGGAACTTGTTAGAAATGCAAATTCATAGGCCTGGCCCCAGTTACTGAATTAGAAACTCGGGGGACAACCTGTTTTTCCACAAGCCCTCTCTGTGATTCTGATGCATGCCCAAGTTTGAGACCAGTGGCTTAGAATAACACCTTTCCCTCCCCCTTCCCAAGATATGGCCGGTTTTACATCTCCACACCGTGAAGGCAGCCAGCCCTCTACTTCCTTTTGTCTGTGGGAGAATCATCCTATTTTTGTCCATTCGTCAGCCTTCTAGAGGCAGCTCAAGTGTAAGGGCCTTAGGAACCCTGGATACAGCTACTGGTTATTTATCTATAAGTGGCTCTAATTTTCTCAGCAATCATTTTGTGAATTTGGAAAATGCAGAGAAGTTTGAAAATGAAAATAAAAATGGAACTGTAATCTTTCTGCTGAATAGTAACCACTGCAAACATATATGTACCTTCTCTTAATTGTTGTTTACAGAAAATTTTAAAAGCACACATAAGAAAGATTAATATAATAAACTTGAACTACCATTCCAAATTCACAATGTAAGCATTTTGTCAGTTATGTTTTTTTTAAATTAATGACTTAGAAAACATTACAGATGAAGTTAAATACTATCCCTCACCCCCACCCTATTTCCCTTTTTAGTCTCATTCCTCTCCCTCCCACCCTAAAGGGCACCACCATCATGGTCTGATGGTACTACACACACACACACACACACACACACACACACACAGACATATTTGGGATTGTTATATGGATTTTACATTTTTTGCAAATATTACTATATACTGTATATCATTTGGCAACTTGCTTTATAAAATTCAACATTGTTTTGAGAGCTACCTCTATTGAGATATATCGATCTATCTCTCCTGCAGATATATTGATCCAATTCATTAATATTTAATATCTGAATAGCACTTTATCATATGACTAGAGGCCCGGTGCACAAAAATTTGTGCATGGGGGGGGGGTCCCTCAGCCCGGCCTGCGCCCTCTCGCAGTCTGGGACCCTCGGGGGATGACCACTTGCTGGCTTAGGCCTGCTCCCCGAGGGATTGGGCCTAAGATGGCAATCAGACATCCCTTTGGCAGCCCGGCAGCCCTCGAGGGATGGCCACTTGCCAGCGGGGAGCAGATCTAAGCTGCAGTCAGACATCCTTAGTGCTGCTGAGGCAGGAGAGGCTCCCACCACCACTGCTGTACTGGCAGCCATCAGCCTAGCTTGTGGCTAAGCAGAGCTCCCCCATGTGGGAGACCATCAGAGGGCAGCTCCTGCATTGAGCGTCTGCCCCCTGGTGGTCAGTGTGTGTCATAGTGACCAGTCATTCCCAGTCTTTCTGCTGTTAGGGTCAATATGCATATTACCCTTTTACTATATAGGATAGAGGCCTGGTGCATGGGTGGCGGCCGGCTGGTTTGCCCTGAAGGGTGTCCCGGATCAGGGTGGGGGTCCCGCTTGGGTGCCTGGCCAGCCTAGTTGAGGGGCTGATGGCTATTTGCAGCTAGTCACACCCCCTTCAGGGTGGGGGTCCCCACTGGGGTGCCTGGCCAGCCTGGATGAGGGGCTGATGGCTGTTTTCAGGCTGGCCACACCCCCTTTAGGGTGAGGGTCCCCGCTGGGGTGCCTGGCCAGCCTGGGTGAGGGGCTGAGGGCCGTTTTCAGGCTGGCCGGCGACTGAAGCTCCCAGACTCTCCTTTTTTTCTTTTTTAAATTTATTCTGGGATTTATTTACCTTTTATAATTGAAACTTCGTTGCTGTCACTGGAGCTGAGAGCCGGCTCCAGCTCTGAGGCTACGGCCTGCTGAAAGCAGGTATCTGGGGTTTTTTTAGCTTCTATAATTAAAACTTTGTTGCTTTCGGAGCTCAGAGCCGGGCCGCAGCAGGCAGGGAACCTTGGCTTCCTCCATCAGTGGAGCAAGCAAGCCTCCTGCTCGCTTCAGCTGCATGGCTGCCAGCCGCCATCTTGGTTCATGGTTAATTTGCATATCACCCTGATTAGCCAATGGGAAGCGTAGCGAAGGTATGGTCAATTACCCTTTTTGTCTTTTATTAGATAGGATTATACAACTACTTATCTATGGGTATATCAATCATATTAATGTTTGGTTGGAGGGTCTGCACATTTTCAACTTCACAGGCATTGCCAAATTACTCTCCAAAGTAGGTGCACTGATTCCAAATTTTTTCTATGTATAAATGTGTCATTTTGCTTTCAACATTGAGTAATTACAACACTTTGTCCTGAGCATTTTATTATGGCATTAAATATTTTTCCAAAATATGGCTTTAAAATGCTGGGTAGAATTTTCTTGGATAATTGTATATAATTATTTAATTATATAGATTTTTCTCCTAAATTCTCACAATTTATAAATAAATCTAATATAAATATTTCTGTGCATAAATCTATGGTCATTTTGATAATTCATTTAGAATTATTT